GGACGAAAGACACCTAACCTATGCCGTCGCTCGAATACTCATCTTTCAGCAGAGTCGGTCAGCGTGCTCGTTCATTTCGCGGACCCCCTGCACGAGCTCCGCTGGCGCCCGCATGTCCATCTCTGTCATCGGGGCCTCCCCTCCGGACTTGATCTTGTGGGCGACGAGCATGGACAGGCTTGGCGGTGTGCTTCGCACCTGGAACCTCCAGACGTCTGAGTACCGGACGTCCCCGTTTGCGCCACTGAACACGTACAACGCCCCCTGAAAAAACGCCGCCGAGTGGAACGCCCGGGCCGGCGGCGCCCCTACCAGATCGGTCGCACCGCCCGCCACGGGGGCCTGTGTGGGTTCCTCGGCCATCCGGACCCACGTCGCCGTGGGGCAGTGGAAACCGAAGAAGTCTTGCAGGCGGCTGAGCTCGCTGGTGAATCCCCCCCAGAGGTAGATGGTGTCGGTCTCCGCGTCGAAGCTGCAGCTATGCGCCACGCGTGCCTTCGGCAGCTCCCCCTTCATGGTCGTTTCTTCCCAGATCAGGGACCGGAGGTCCAGGCAATAGAGGTCGATGCCGCTCTGCTCCGGCTTGAAGCAACCCCCGCCGATGACGTACATCTTGTGACCCACAACCACGGCCTGGTGCTTGTATCTCGGGGAAGGCATGCGCCCGGATGTCACCAGCCGCTTCCACTTGTTTGTTCGCACGTTGTACTCGAAGAGGTCGTTCGTGTAGTGCAGCCCCGTCGACCCGCCGAACAGGAGGAGCTTGTCCCCGTACGTGCACACGCTCTGGCCGTAGAACTTGCACGGGGTCTCCTCCGAGTCCGTCAGGATTTGGGTCCAGGTTCGGTTCGGAACGTTGTACTCCACCACATCCGCCCTTAAGCTGTCCATCTCGACCCCCGTCCCTCCGGCGACGATGAGGGTCCCCGGGGCAGGACCGGCGCACATGCCGAAGGATGCTCGAGGCAGGGGCGCGTCTCCCTTGACGGTGACCTTGCTCCACCGGTGGAGTTCTAGGTTAAACACGTACACGTCGTTCAGACATGTGATTTGATCCTGTGTACCGCAATGGGGCGACGAAAATATGTTCACGGCGGAACCGAGGTGTTTGACATTTACGATGAGCAGGAGGAGGCACATATCCAATGTTTTGTGTGCCTGGCATGGCGGTAGTCAAGTTATTATCGGTATGTTGCATACTGAACTGGTTTGCAACTATGGTAAGAAGTGCTCCGGTAGAGAGACACAAATTTCCACGAAAAACAAGAAATAAGGGTGAAGAAACGCAGCCCAGCTACATCAGACTTTACCACTCAACAACCTGTGATCAACGATGGTGACGAAAATAGAAAGTGAGCTCAGACCCAATAGTCATTAGGCCACCTTGTTTTCTTTGGCACGGCGTCGAAGTTCCTGCCGATAGCACACAAGGCATTTTACGTTGTGCGTGCAATCTTGCCTCTCGCCTCACTATTCAACATGAAAGTCACAGCTTCGGTGTCGACCTCAAGTATCGTCAAAGAGAGCGACGTCGTGTATGTAATTGCTGCTCTCCAATCATTTGGGCGCGACTTAAACGGGAACATTGTATTCACTCAGTCGCCGTCGAACAGATCAATCAACACTCCGTGTTTGATGATGGATTAACCTGGGTTCACCACGCAAGGACCTATACGCAGTAGTCAACGTTTGCTTGTTGCCTAGACTACGGATTCAGCCCGCGCATGGAATAAGACCGGGGCCGTGTAGACTATGTTGTTGTTGTTGTTGTTGTTTCTCACATTAGCTCTAAAAAAGAAAGATTGGGAGCCCGTGGTCTCAAAACCCGGCATACACGACCCCACGAAGAAACAGAAAAAAATAGGGTACAAAAACCATGTGTGTGTATACTGCTGTAGGCCGAAAAGTTGCTCCGACAAAAAAAGTGGCGTAAAAAATTCAAGAGTCGCAGGAACAGTCCTTCTACGAGATGGTACACGAGGTTTTCTACTCATTTCTAGAACATCGACGATCAGCAACCATGCTGATACTTGAACCAATGCGTATGGAATAAGAGCACATGACCGACACGATACTCCTCCTCTCGAGGACGAATTTCTCTGCCCTTGCTTTGGCACTCGCCCGAACGAAGCACCCACGCACAGTTCAGCACGCGCTGCTACGAGAAAGTCAGCATGTGAAGGGTTTCTGGCAAAGTACCGTATCACGAGCTTCACGACCCACGAGCTTCAATAAATAGAACCTTGAACTGGCCCGCCTACACCCACACGATTTGCTCGACCTGTGCTGGCGGTCGTCAACCACGGCAGCCATGCCTACAGCAGTAGTAGGAAGGAGAAGCTACAGTGCACGGAAGTTTACATGTAACTCTCGTGCGTGGTGAAGAAAGTCGCGAACAAAGTACGTGTTGTAGTGCGTGCACAAGCTGAAGTTCACATCCTGGTTCGTTTCGCTTCCGCCGACGTCCCGCGTCCAGACGTACACTATTGTTGCGCTGCCCCGACGAACCATCCCACGCTACATGCAAGGACGAGTAGATGTCGGGAGCTGCGATGCTGGTACGGCGGACGCCGCCTCACGCGAGCATCCTTGAACCTCGTTGCTACGCTTACGACCGACAACACACACATACGGCCTCGGGATTATGCCGACATCAGTTATCACCGCACCAAGCAAAGGGCAGTGCGTGATCAGTTGCCAGGAGGCCGGGATGCAGACCGGTGTGCCTCGCAACAAAAAATATTGATGGGACAGAGAGTATGAGCCGTATCTCACCTGCTCGCCACCGCAACCCCCGAACAGGTACGCTTTGTTCCCGATGACCACGACGTCGTGCCCCGACCGGGGCGATGGTGAGTCCCCGCTAGTGTTCAACTTCGTCCACTGGTTGTGACAATATCTGTACCCAGCAGCTTTGCGGGCGGAAACATCCTCAGTCACCTGCTGCATGCTACTCCTCATGCAGTGCACTGCGGAGTACTTTGCCCCCATGCTTCAGGAACACACCGCCCGCAAACCGCCTGCAGCGATGGGAGGGCTAGGCCTCGAGGCTGTTGTTCAAGATTGACTGGTGTCAACGGGTCGTGCAACATCAGTTCAGCTTGTGGGCTGCAAAAACATAAGGAGAACCTCTTGTGAGTCAAACCGTTACGAGCACGTGAAAGCACGAGCAGGTAGAAGATACTCGGCTGTTCGGGCTGGAGCGTGACTCGTCGGCACAACCAGATCGGCATAATCGGTGCCGGTTCAGCAAAAAGGGGTGCCACCGTGCCACCGTGGTCTTTCCTCGCCACATTGCACTTTCCACGGAACCCCCAAGCCGCCGCAGCAGCAAGCAAGCCAGCCAGCTCAGAGGTGTTACTGTTCTCGGGCGGTGTCCCACCTCCTCGGAACCTCAGCAGCCGAGATGGACCACCAATAGATCGACTGGGACTCGCTGTGGTTGCTAGCTTCGCTGGCCCCCAGTCATACCACAGCACGATCACACTGCAGTGTGCTTGAAAAAAGAGCGGCATGACATCCTCGTCTTCCCCGTTGGAGGACCGACGAAAGCGGGGACGCCAAGACCTTGGCGCAGGCAAGACCGAAGACCTCTCGAGTTTACCCTCCACGGAACCAACCCGCGAAGCGAGGATCGCCTGGAACGACGATTTCCCGCGAAACTTCCTTGTGTGTGAGAAAATAGGGGAAGGTTCTTTCGGGACGGTTTGGACTGCTCGCCGCCTCGAGGAAGATGGCAAGCAACGCGGGCCTCACGACGGAGAGTCAAGGGGAGAAGAGGAGAGGGACCAGAAGCTTGTTGCGCTGAAGAGAATCAATCCGACGTGCTCGCCTTCGAGGATCTTAAACGAATTCAACCAGATGCGGAGGCTAGGGGGAGGTGAGGCCTGTTGCCGCAGGGTGAAATGCGTAAAGATTCTTGAAATTTGAATTTGAAACACTTGAAATTGTATTGGACACGTGTGGAGTGTAGCACGTGGAATGCCCCCTTCCCCTCTGGCAGGTATGTACGTATGTGTATGCATTGTTGTGTGACTATGTACTGCTGCTGTAGTTTCCGCCCGTGCGAAAGCTACCGTCAGTATATGGACTGTAGTTTTCAGTCATGAACCAGGAATACAAGATGTAGATCACACCATGCTATCTTTCCGTTGCGGGCAATGCGTAGCCCTCAAGCACACTCAAAAATAAAGTGCATCCTCGCGCAGGCCCTGCTGCCTCATGTTCCGCCGTGCGCCCCCACCCTCCCGTGGTGTAATACCATATGCCCAATCGGCTTGAAATGGCCACAGGTGGCCACAACGTGATCGAAGTGCAAGGAGTCGTTCGAACCCCCGGCGGCGTGTTCGCCCTGGTGATGCCCTTCTTCGAACACGACGACTTCCGGCAGGTGATGAAGACGCTCACCCTCTCCGGGGTTGCGATGTACCTCAAGTCGCTCCTCACGGCCCTGGCGCACGTCCACTCCGAGGGAGTCATCCACAGGGACGTCAAGCCCCGCAACTTCATGTACAATGCGAGGACTGGGCAAGGTGTGTGGGGTGTTGCAGCTGCTGCTGGGTGGGTGTATCGGCAGACATCTTTCGCTTGCGAGAAATGGTATCCTTTACGATGTATTGGTTGCCATATCTGCATCAACGCCGGCACATGGCACCTCTCGAAGGCAGCAGCATTGCCAGCGCGACAGTCGGTCATGGTGAGCATGCCCAACATCATCGTTACAGTTAAGCGGACGCTTCTGTTTCCACCGGTCCACCGACTTTGGCACGCTCGCCTGACAAGGCTTTCGCAAATATTCACACGCAGGTAGACATGACTTGCACGCAGGAGGTGTCATCCTGACATCTGGTCGGAGCATCTTCCAAAGTTTTTTTTTTTTTTCGGTAGTTGACCTGTGACGGCAGATGGCGTCCACGTCAGTTTGGACCGGTACGGACAGTAAAGGTCCTGAGCAGAGATCGGAATGGTTTTCAATGTGAACACAACAACAACCAACAACACCACTCCGTTCCTTCCGACTGCCATCGGCAATACCGAAGGGTACCTCATTGATTTTGGCCTTGCCGAGCCAGCGGAGAAGTGGAGAAGCAGGTCGGCGGCCCTGGCCAAGCACAGGGACAGGAGGGCGGCGCGTGGCGGCAAACACAACCACGCCCAGCAGAGACATTCCGTTCAGACCACAATCCGCACGACCGGAGACCACGGGAAACGGCCCAGCAGCAGCAGCAACAGCAATCGAATAGCCCCGGGCACCACCGAGGTTAGCGCCAGCGGTCGAGCTGTTCCTGCTCTCGATCGGGAAGAGGGGGATCGTACGAAGCTGCTGAGGAAGGCGGAGAGGGGGGGTACAACCGGTTTTCGCGCCCCGGAGATTCTGTGGCACTGCAGAGATCAGGTATGTCGTGGAACGCTGGTGGGGCAACTCGGATATACGGTGCTTGTGCGCTTCTTCTTGAGTGCCTTCAAGAGGTATTGGAAAGGTTTTTCGTGCGGAGGCTGACGTGGCTTTTGGATTGGAGAAGGGTGTTGTACCATGTACTGCTTAGTTTACGAGAGCGGCACCTCGCCCATCAGATTTTGGAAGTGTTTTTACCATGCGCACCTTCAAAATATGAAACGATTCCATTGGCTCCCGGGGGTGTTTGCCCAAGCGCGACTCGGGCACGACACGCGGGGTCATCCGCTGGGCATGTCTTTCATTGGCGTTTGGACATCTTTTTGACGACTAAGAGAAATTGTTTGCCGTTTTGTGCATCAACCAGTCGTCAGATCGGCCTCGAAGGTCGTTATTCTTTTGACCCCATCACCACACGGAACCGCTATTAGTCCCTTTCAAGGTCATGTTGTTTCATCGCCGCCCATCGCACCTCTCTATACCCCTTGCGACAAGAAAAGCTCATGTCGTGTTCCAGCGGTTAATGCGAGCGCCCCCCCCCAACGAGCGCCTCACCCAACGCTCCCTCTCTCCCTACCTTGCCGATGCTCATCACATCGTACCACAGGAGCCAGCTGTGGATGTTTGGTCTGCGGGGGTTATCCTGCTGTGCCTGCTATCTCGCAGGTACCCCGTTTTCCCCTCCGCAGACACCGATGAGATGGCGCTGGTGCAGATCGCACAGCTGCTGGGGGGCTCCGAAGAGCTCGTGAAGGCTGCCCGCGACAGTGGGAGGTGCCACATCATGGAGTTCCCTTCTTCGCAGCTACAGCAGCAGCGCGGCGGTGGCGGTTGTGGCAATAGCCGCTGGGGCAGTGATGGTGGTCGTGGTTCGCGATTGGAAGAGTTGTGCGCCCCCTTACTGTGCGACGGTGCGGCGGCGGCGTGCAGCGAGAAGGAAGTGGACGCACGAGCGGACGCCTTTGAGCTGCTGAAGGGGATGCTGAAGGTGGACCCGAGAGAGCGGCTGTCTGCCAAGGATGCTCTCATGCACCCTTTCGTGGCGGAAGCGTGACTGGCCTGACTGGCTGTTCGGAAGCCGAGAGACAAGCGGTCTCATAGATACTGTTCAGTGAGGGCCAAATTAACCTTTGAGTCGATTTCGCCTCTGATCGCCCTTTGAGGTGACCGGCAACATATCTCCCCTACATGTTGTGTGCATGTGTTGAGCTCACCATCTAGGCGCTTTCTTACTGTGCACGGTGCTTGCAGAGTATCATAAGGCACTGGCGCAGGTGCTCCAAAATTTTGGAGGTGTTTTTGCTTAGAATGTATCGTCCCTTTCTTTTTTGTTGCCTCAGAAACGGCCCGTCAGCGACGGCTCTATGCGAGTTGGCCAGTTTGACCCTCATTGCGATCGATTTTTGTAGCACACGAGCCGAAGGAAAGGATGGGACTTCGGAGGTATGGCATCCTATGTAGCCATCGGACGTACGTGAGGGTGGGAGGAGGGGAGGTTGTGGTCCCGCAGTTTTCGGCATGTTTCAGAGAACCTTCTTGTTACTTCAGTGCAACGTTTTGAGGTTTCAATCGCGGTTGTTTGTAAATAAACATGGTAGACACGAGAGGCGGTACTGGTATAACCGTTAGTGTTTTTTTCGTATAGCACTAGGGAAATTTTCACTTATTTGATTCTTTAGATCTAGGTCGCTGTGGTGCCAGCATTTCAAAATGCTGCTCTCGTGCGCCTAGTGACGCTTTTCGCAGGCTTCGCGCCTTTCTGGGGCGCTTTTTGCTCCGATTTTTTTGCTCAACGCGCCGCTGCTCATAGCGACAAACATCCGCGCGCTGCGCTATGTCGGCGAGGTGTTGCGCTCGCTGGGGTGAGCTGAGTGCTACATCTCCGTGATCTCCCACCAAAAAATATTCAGCTCTTTCCGCTGCGCGACGCGCGGAGACACTTAGTTGGCCAACCACAGAGCGTTTTCTCAAACGTCTGCATAACAGAATGGAGTTGTCAATCCAATCAATCAATATTTTGGCGGCAATTTTACCGAGCGGACTTTTTGATGACAAGCAGTACCTCAGTGCGTCGCTCTCTATAGTCCAAGGTATCTTCATGCTATATGCATGATCGGTTTGTGTGATGTTAAAGGTTTGTTGTAGTCATGGCGCTCTCTTTCTTATTTATCTGTTACCACATATGTGGCTTAGGAAAAAGCAGAAAACAAGCGGTGGATCTCAGCAAACAGATAAAAAAAGTCGGCCCGATCTCGGAAAATACGGTTACATGCTCGCGCGCGCGCACGCTGTGGTCGTGCACGTCACTGCTCAAGGTGATCAGTTCCACTTAGCGCATTAAGACTTCCACGGAAGCAAATAACTATCTACGAGGCTGTTATCTGTTGCTGATGTTTGTGATGTTGTTGTTGCACGTATAGTTGCCTCCATAGTCAGAAGATAAAGCAACAAAATTGCGGCAAAATTCATCAGCTCACAGTCGGGCCGACGAGGCGGTTACACGCCTCCGCGCGCGCATTTTTGTTTGCGAGCTACCCCCGCTGCTCATTTCCACTGGAGCCCACCCGAACAAATTCGAAGAGCACACGATGCAGTCGTTGTCTCAGGCGTCGCCACTCAAGCGCCAGAGAGCATCAAACCAGTCGTCTGAGAAGCGTGAGTTTGTGATCGAAGGCGGCAATCCCTCGTGGCACTGCATCGATACGGAGATCTGCCCGGACGGGCGTCTCAAGGTGACCATCCGTAAGGACGGAAGGGAGTACGTGATCTGCGATCACAACGACTTGAAGGACAAGAAGACCTGCAACGTGACCCTCGACTATCTCCAGGACTACAGTGGTTCCATCAAGTACTGCGACCTCTGCCTGAAAGAGTTGACCCACCTGCCGTCGATTCAAACGCGCATTGACGAGAAGGACGCCAACGGAAAACAAGGTGTGCGAAATTTCAACTAAGTGCGCCAGCTTCTCGAACCTTCACCGAGGTTGGATAGCCCTACAGGGCGATCAACTTCGTGCGTATATAAGTCTATACCAGTGTTTTGTGTGGTTTGTGCCTTTTTGGTTGAAGTTGTTATTTTTTCTTCCACAGCTTGTGCTTTTGGCCTCTTCGTGCTCGTGCCGATAAGCGCTTTCCCATGTTGTTGTCCTCACAGAAAGACTGCCACTGGGCGAACGTCGGCGGCGACCTCGCGGACGATCTCAAAGACGGCTGCACGGGTTTCATCTCTGCGGGTGATCTCATCGTCAAGGACTGGACCAACCCTCCTCTCCACGTTCAGTGTTCCAAGCGCCTCTGGAAGAAGACCGTCAAGAACTTCCTCGACACCAAGAAGGCCTACAAGGACCTCGGCACCAACGCGGAGAAAGAAGCGGCTCAGCCTTCTACGTCCGTGCCTGACGATCTCGTGGACTTTTAAGGTGTGAGCATTCCATTCAGGTTTCCGTAATATATCTCTGAACACTTGCTGAAACTGAATTCTGAACAAATGAACACACGTTCCGCTTCGCGCGCGAATAACTCACAGACGAATGATCGACGTGTTTTCACGCTTGTAGTATGCGTGGCGAGAATAAAATTGTTGTCATTGTGGCATCAACAAGTATTGCTGCTCTACAGCTTCCTAGTGGGTGGACCGCACATTCCACGTTCAAATTGCCCATGGAAGAAGAATCAACACCTTCATGTGTTTGCAACATAAGTGCGTAACACAAAGAGCTGACCTGATTCGTAACGCTGACCTCATTATATGGGACGAGTTGTCTATGACACACAGATATTGCGTAGAAGCCCTAGACAGAACTCTCAAGGATCTCATGAAATGCAACAAAACCTTTGGTGGAAAATCTATATTATTTAGCGGAGGCTGGCATCAGACTGTACCAATCGTCAAAAACGGATCGCCAACTGATTCCGTCGATGCTGCGTTTGTCTCCAGCGAACTATGGAGCAGTGTAAGCAGATTCAAGTTGTCACAGTCCCAGCGAGACCGCGAGGATCCCCAGTACGCCTCCTTTGTCAGATCTGTCGGTGACGGTACACGTCCTGTTGTTTCTTTCCAAGAGGGTTCCGACCTTATAGCGCTCAACAATCACGATGATCTTCATGACAACAACCACTTCCAGCTTCGCTACACTACCGACTTTAACGAATTACTGCGATTTGTTTACCCTGAAATGAAAGACAACGCAAGTACATGGAGTACGCGCGCGATTTTAGCCACTACTAATCACGACATTGATGGTTATAATCACGTTATTGCCGATAGTCGTCCTGGCCAATTATGTTCGTTCTACAGTTCAGACTCTCGCATATCCGACGAAAGTTCAACCAACACAGCTTTCGCTTCACCCGACCACCTCAATCAGCTGAATGTGCAGGGTGTACCTCCCCACGAACTCAAACTAAAATCTGATAATCTCGCCATCGTTACTCGAAATCTTAACTTCTCCGAAGGGCTTGTGAATGGTCAAAAATGCGTTTTCCTTGCAGTCTCTCCTAATAGAAGAGTTCTTCAAGTTAAATTGCTCACAAACGAACATCCGCGCCCAATAGTTTCAATTCCTCGCAGTAACTTTCACGGTACAATGGGCCGCAATGGCATAACGTTCAGCCGCGTGCAACTTCCGATCAGAACCGGTTACTTCATGACTATGAACAAGAGTCAAGGACTGACCCTCACCAGAATAGGGCTTGATTTACGGTCTCCCGCCTTTTCGCATGGTCAACTGTATGCGGCTTTTAGCCGAGCCAAAAATCGTAATTCCATCATGTTTCTTTTGCCTGAATCACACATTGTCGACGGTGTTCCTCATACAAAAAACGTTGTCTTTTCTGAATTCGTGCAAGCTGCAGTCTGTGACAATTCATCTCAGCCACGTTCCGGAGGCTCTCCTCCTCCACCCCCTTTTCCTACATGGACAATTATAAACGAAATTGGGGATGGAGCTTGCGGCTACCGCGCTCTGTCACGGCGACTATACAACGATGAAAGCAAACACTACGAGTTGCGACATGAAATTCTACAGTACATGCAAAGTCAGCAGCACAATGCTGACATGAGGTCTGCTGTGTTGCAATGTCGACTGCACTCTGAATATATATATATTCTCGGAGAATCTCCAAGGCTTTTCGGATCTTATGAGGAATACCTTCAAATCATGTCCCACCCCCGAGCGTACTTAGGCGAGCCTGAAATTATTGCTGCGCGTCTACGATTTAATGTCAACATCTGTGTCACGATCGCAACTCTCTTCCTAATCCTTCTGATGCTAACCCCCATGACATCTACATTCTGTTTGATCAAGCATCCCGCCATTATTCCTCTTTGTCTCTTACACCTTCTTGCCAGAATCAGAACCACCATGGCGGACTCTAACACATCGAAATCCATCACAACAGCACCTGAGTGCGCGTCTGCAACGGAGTTACAACACCAGGATTATCAGTCCCACGGCGACCTCGACAATCTTCATGCGGCTTTATTAAAAAACACCGACCAGGCTTTTGAGAAGTCTTTAATCGCCGAAGCTGAAAACTTTCAGAGCGTTCTCTCTGAGGATGACCTTCAGCAACTACAAGAATACGAAGAATTCGAGTTTCTCTTTGAACAGCATTGCTGTGATATGTGTATTGAGCATGAGAATGGTATGGCGTCGGAGAAGTCAAAGGATGACGGCTCAGCCCTTTCGTAGCTACACTCAGCATTTCGTCGCTTTACGTTCTACGGTGGAAGGGTGGATTGGGTTTTGGGTGTGACTGTACTTTTGGGGGGGGCAACAATGCCTTCTTCGGACATAAACTTGCACCAGTTGTGCGCAGGGTGTGCATTGAGTAGGTTGCACGCGTTTGCCGGAGCGTAGTGTGTGTAGCGCTGGGTGTCCATAGAGTAGAGGTTGCACACAGTTTGCCGGAGCGTTGTGTGTATAAAAGGCGCGGAAGTTGGTGGTGTTAGTGGTGAGAAGGACCTGCAGTGGGAAGGTTTAGAGAATTCAGCACCTCAGAATACAATAAATTATACTAAGTATCACAGCCAATGCGGCAGACATCATCAGCAGCTATGCTCATCATCACTCCTCACCATCCACATTAATCGACTTCAACAGCGGCGCGTGCAATGCGTCCCAACTTCCACCATAACTGTCACAACCTTCACACGCCTTCGCCCTTGGTATTATGCTTCCACATCAACCTTATTGACATCATCCCCACCCTTCTTCGGAGGACGGAGGGGGGTTGAGGCCCCCCCCGTCCGGGACCCTCGTTTAGTATACCACTGTACTTTTCCGTTTATTTGTAGAGCTACAGCAGTAGCGTTGTTAGTAAACTTGATCTACTTCATAAGTCGCGAGGGAAGGGATTGCTGTACCCTTCTCGCGATAAAAATACCTCAGGCAAGAACCGCAGGAGGGGGTCCAACCCCCCCCTCCTATGTGACCCCGGTTGGGTCGTCTAGCTGGTAGAAGTGGAGGATAGGGGCCAGCGGGGCAAACGACAGAGTCCAATGACAGGAGAAAAAATAAAGAAGTAGTGGTTGCTTGGTGACGTGCGTGAGAGGGGATCTTGTTCGTGACAAGGAATTTTAGTTGTCACGTACTTGTATTTATTTGTGTTCAGTGGGGCAACTGCAATGTAGCCCTATTTGAGCGCTGTACGGCCACAAGCGTTGCATGAGCGCGACATGGAAACTTTTGAATTTTCGTTGCATAGCCTTCATGCATGCATCGTTGTCAAGTACTTGGTTACAAGTACCGAGGTCACGGTTCCAGCCTTTCTCGCTCGCGATCTTCATGTGAGTGCTTACCGGACTTGGTCGAAAGAGGACAACACAAGATATTTAACAACGCTGCTCCTGTGAGTCCCTCAAAGCAAAGGAACAGCAACTACACATGGGAACATCGAATCTATCTTTGTTCCTCGAGATGATGACATTTACTTGCTGACGGGAACGTTGCGCATTTTTCTGCGCGTGCCGTGAACTTGTTGTCGTTCCTCCACTATCTTTGTGGTCTCCTCCCACCGCCCCATCTTTTCTCGTCGTCGCTGACGTGCCAGGTATGTAAACACAAGTACACTGGCACACAAGTGGCAGGTGGCGTTGGTGTAGACAAGCAAGCTGGCCCTTCAGGCCTATTCTTCGACAGTCTACTGTGACAAGCCTCCTTCCGTTTTTTGGGGCACGTAATCTACCCCCCCCCCCCCCCCCCCCCCCCCCCCCCCCCCCCCCCCCCCCCCCCCCCC